AAATAATAAAAATATTATTGAATATGTACCACGTATGGTAAAAACACTTGGTACAAGTGTAATTGTACAAATAGCTTGTGGCATGAAACATACACTTGCATTAACAAATGATGGTAAATTATATAGTTGGGGTTCTAATAGTGCAGGTCAACTTGGTTTAGGTTCTGACACTGAAAATGAAATAAAACCTACGCTTGTTAACAGTTTAGTTGCTGTCCCTGTTGCTTTTATTGCCTGTGGGGGTTTTCACAGCATAGCTATTTCAAAATCAGGTAATAATAGAATTAAATACAAATTAGTTCTTACAGGTCATAGAAATAATTAAATTTTCTATAGGTGCTATATTTGGTTGGGGCAAAAATACATTTGGCCAGTTAGGGCTAAATGATACACAGAATAGAAATACTCCATGTCAGTTGCAAACTCTACAAAATGCAAAGGTGTGTTATGCAGCATGTGGTGAAGAATTTTCTGTCTTTCTAACATTGGTTAGTATTTTAATTTATATTGTTAGACGTTTTATCGGTCATATTAGATGCGCAAAAAAGTTCTAAGCTTCAATGTATAAAATTCAATTATTACGTAAATGCGGTATTACTTTAGGATGGTGGAGTATTCACTTGTGGTGCAGGAATGTATGGCCAGTTAGGACATGGTAATAATTCAAATGAAATTTTACCTCGTCAAGTTATGGAGCTAATGGGTAGTACAGTTACACAGGTATATTATTATATTTAGACAAGTTTTAAGTGTTAAATATGTGTATGTTAAATTTATGCAATTATTTTATCTCTCAGATTTCATGTGGTAAAAGACACACATTAGCATTAGTGCCATCACGTGGTAAAGTTTATGCATGGGGCCTAGGTGGGGCAGGACAGTTAGGTAATCAAGTTACATGCAGCGTAGCCACTCCGCAGGTGGTACGCGGACCATGGGTTGCACCCAATGGCACTTCGATGATGGATCTTGATAAGGAGTTTGATCCCTCTAGAACTGACTATATAGTTAGACATATTTTTACTGGCGGAGATCATTGTTTTGCAACTGTAGTTCCGCGAAAGGTAGATATTTATTAATTAGAATAATGTTGGAATGGTTACAGAAAAACGGTTATTTATAATATTGCATGTGCAATATTAATAATTACATATTTTATGTATTGTACATTTGAATATCTGCAGGATAATATAGAACCAGATGACTGTAGAATATTAGAATCGGTTTATCAAATTCTTGAAATAAATGAAGAACAATTGATGGCATGTCAAAGAGTTCCACAAAGCTCACCTATTGATCATGACCTTATGACGTGAGTAGAAAAGTTAGTACTTATGACTGATCCAAATGTGTCTTTCTTTGCATGGTTTATTTGAGCAATAGTCACAAGTCATTTGTTTCTCTCTCTCTCTCTCTCTCTCTCTCTCTCTCTCTCTCTCTCTCTCTCTCTCTCTCTCTCTCTCTCTCTCTCTCTCTCTCTCTCTCTCTCTTATAAATATAATTCACGATAGGATTTGTAAAATTTGGCGAAAATGTTCTTACAGGTATTTACAGACTGTATTTGAAAGCGAAGCTTGTATAAACGGTTCATTTTTACTAAATAATGATAATCACTATGGATGTTCGAGTAAACAACATGGACTGGATCTTGAGCGAGCTAGTAGATCATTCGGAATTATTAGAGAATTGGATAACAACACAATTCAAGAACTGGTATACAAGAAAATAAGTTTTATAAAAGATTAAATACTTCGAATTTCATATTACATTGAATTTATTATTCTTTCTTTAGATATTTACTTGCATATCAGAGAGTTTGATTCCTTCTTTTGTTAGTTCCCTTGTTAATACAACACCTAGAATACATTGTCTGGAGTCTTTAAGAATATACTTAATATTACCTTTGTACCACGGTTTTGCAAATCCCCTTAATTGCAATTTATTACATAATCCATTTTGCAAAGCTGTTTTACTATTACAACCAGATGATCTTGAAATTGTATCTAAATGGTGGATCGAAGCACCATCACATTACTTTGAGAGATTAGTCAGAATTCATAAATCAGTTGTTCTTCATTATGTAAAACAAGCGAAACCAAATAAGGTAATATTCACAATTTATTTATTTTGCTAATCAAACATGAAAATATTGATTTCTATAGCACTGTAGAATGTAAACCTTTGTAGGGTGTATCATGGGATATGACGCTTCAACGTGTTTTGCATCAATTACGCTTACTAAATATATTGAACAATCAAGGCAACAAAAGAAACATAGTGCCTTATGCTACGTTTCACTTACCAGAATTAATCGAGTTTATAGACATTAGAGAAGATTACATAAAATGGATTTCAGAAAAGGAATCTTCTGTAAGTTATGTTAATATTATATCTGTGGTTTTTTCAATCGTAGGTATCTGTAGCTTTTTTTTAAATTATACAAATTTTGTTCAGTACCAGAACGTATTCTGCCATTATCCTTTCCTTCTCGACGCTCAAGCAAAAACCATATTGCTTGAAACAGATCAAGCTATTCAGGTATGAAGTAAATTTATTTTATGTTACTGTATAGTTCTTAAACTATGTTTCTTAATGTATGGTAGATGCAATCGGCAATGAACGAAGCCGCAACTCGAGCTGTAACGCATCAAATGTTTTTTGATCCATTCTCTGTAAATGCGCATCACAATATTCAATTTCTACTATTAAACGTATCACGCGAAAATATAGTTGCAGACACTTTATTAGAATTGTCTCGTTACAGTTCTACAGACCTAAAGAAACCTCTACGAGTGAGTATTATAATTCTAGTTCAAATATTGTACATCTAGAATGCAATTGTTACACAATGATATTATTATACATAGGTAAAGTTTCACGGCGAGGAAGCAGAAGATGCAGGCGGAGTTAAGAAAGAATTTTTTATGCTTTTATTAAAAGAAATTCTTGATCCCAAGTATGGTATGTTTAAACAATATGAAGAGACCAGAATTATTTGGTTCAGCGAAGACTCGCTCGAAGATGAAAACATGTATTTTTTAATCGGAATACTTTGTGGACTTGTCATATACAATTTTATTATTATTGATTTACCATTTCCATTAGCTTTATATAAAAAATTGTTACATGAACCAGTTGGACTCATCGACGTTAAAGAAATGTCACCAGTACTCGCTAAGTACGATATATATTTTTTTAAATCGCCTGATAAAATATTAGTAACATAAACACAAGATAAAACATAAGACTGTTGAATAATGTTATTGATATTATTATAGGAGTATGCAAAGTATACTCGACTATGATGAACCAGACTTCGAGGAAGTTTTCTGTTTAAATTTTGAAGTTGCTAGAGAAGCCTTTGGCGAAAAAAGAATATACGAACTTTTACCAGGAGGTAGTAAAGTTCCTGTTACGTTGAAGAATAAGTACATACTTTTTCATTTGTTTGCTCGATTTTGGTTCTTTGTATTTTTACATGCAACAACATTATTATTATTTATAGAAAACAATTTGTTGACTTGTACGTAGACTATATATTGAACAAATCTGTTGAACGTCACTTTCAAGAATTTCACAAAGGTTTTCATAGAGTTTGTGGTGGACGGGTACTGGAATTATTTCACAGCCATGAACTAATGGCTGTAGTAGTAGGAAATGAAGATTATGATTGGGAGGAGTTGGAAAAAAATGCAATGTACAAGGAAGGATATTCGAAAAATGATCCTACTATTATACTATTTTGGCAAGTATTTCGTGAACTGCCTTTGGAAGAAAAGAAAAAGTTTTTATTATTTTTAACTGGAAGCGATAGAATACCTATACAAGGCATGAAGGCAATCAAGGTACGTTAAGCAGATTTTTACGTTTCGTTCCTAATATTGTGAGTACATGTTATTTCCTAACTATTCGCTTCATATTAAATGTTCTATTGTTTATCAATCATTCCAGATTACAATACAACCAACGAATGACGAACGTATGTTGCCCGTTGCTCATACATGTTTCAATTTGCTCGATCTCCCACGGTATCAAACTCGAGAAAGATTACGATACAAGTTACAACAAGCTATTCAACAAACGCATGGTTTCTCGTTAGTCTAAAATTTTGTTACTATCCTATCTTTACAACACATGCATATTATAATGTTGAAACTTAATTTGAATTAAATTAACTTATACCGCTAGATAGTAATTGAAGCATTTGAAATATTTTGGAATCTTTATACCCATCGTTAGATAAAAAGTTTCCATTATTGCCAGTCTATTTTTCTACGTTTGATTTTACATAACTTATGCTATTTTCTAGTCTAAAATTACAAACAGTAAGAATTTGAAACTACTGATATTATGCGAGAGAGTAATACCGAATGCTTACCAGTACATGCATCGAATGCAACTAGAAAATAAATATATTGAAAATATTATACACACCATTCTAACAACCCATAGTTTTATAAGTATGAGAATTACGGAAGATCTAATAATGATTTATTTTAAATAATACAATATTTACAATATTACAGTAAATTTGAATGTTAAAAGCAAGATGATCTCAGGGAAAATTGTTAGCAAATAAACTATAATCAAAGATCATATTCCTTGATAGAGTGCATTTTTAATGATTAAACATGTGATTAACGCGTTATTTGTAACAAGTTGCTCACTCTTAATGTACACGTTAAAGATTTATTTAAGCACTAGACAATGTAAAAGGATGTTAATGTTAGGCCTTTAGCGTTTATTTATAAGCGACGGGTAAAGGTTTTCCTTTCCTTACTTTCCAATTGCAAGATTACAAATAAATAAAAATGTGATTTTTCAAGCGTTTGCCACTGCTATATATATATATATATATATATATATCCCGTACAAAATAGTCTATAGATTGTTAGCGTTAGTACATGAATACATTTTGTATATTTATTTATAAAGTAAATTATATATTATTATACACTGAAATAAATTTTTTTAAATGATTAAAATTAACATTCCGCACATAGATTTGTAGATATTCTTTATTTATACACATCAGTATGTTACATTATTAAAAAGTTCCGTTATTTAATGGACACATGGTCATCTCTATCGTTTTACAAAAATATTTCCGATGTCATGACATATATTCGTTTCAATCTTTCGCAACATTTTTGTTCGATTTTCATTCGATCATGATTATGACATCGATTTTCGTTATTCGTTAATAGACATTCTTGTATTAACTCGGCGATTTTATTATTAATAATCGTAATGTTTCGCTAGAACTCATACTTCAGATGTTACCACTCTTCCACGAGATAAATAGCTTTTTTTGTCAGAAGCGTTAGTTTTCGTTCGTATGTCAACGTTTGGCATTAAATATATTAACCCTGTGCACTCCAAATAATTCAACTACTAATGAGTTACTCAATGATCACGAAATTATCTTGACAATTTTTTAGACTACATACTTAAAATTTATATTAACCAAACGCAAGCATACATGAATTAACATAGTTTAAGGGAAATGTTACATTTATTTTATTACTTGGAGTACGATGCCTCTAAGTATTTGAGCAGTACGCCTCTGAGTGCCTAGACAGTACAGCTGGTGTTAGGAGTGCAAAGGGATGACTAAGGTTCGCGATAAAAGTTTATAAAGCTACATTATCGAATGGCATTTTACACTTGAATGAAAGTAACGGCGATAAAAAGCAATTGTTCAATCAGTCTCTGTATATACAAGTTATGTTGAAATTCGAAATCCGAACAGAAAGTGTTTGTGAAGAACCTTGATGAAATTTCAAACGTATCTCGTAAAAAGTATCGTGCCAATTCGGATTAGAAGAACTGGAAAAGCGAAAACACGTTACCCTGTAACCCGTGTACAGTCCTAAGTCCTAAAGTACCTAAACCAAAAGGTGAATGTGTTAATCGGTCATTTCTTTGGTTCTCTTTCTTCTTTCCAGTGTACAAATTTCGAAATCCAACGAAAACAGTCCCGAGCGACTTTCTTTTTATCGAAACATCCTCGCGAAGAACGTAATTGGGATTCGGATTAACTTTAAATAGCTGTATCATTTTCAAAATAACAAAATCCAAATATGCGTTACGTTTCGCGAATATCGTGAAAAAATCAGGCTCAGGACAACGTTTCGAAAGAGGTAAATAATTGTGAAATAGATTCGCTAATGTTGATAGGAGGGGGTGAAGTATTGAGTGCCTGGCGGAGCTCGGTAACCAGGGTACGTATTGGTCAAGGCGTGTTGAGCGAAGAAACCGCTATAATCTTTATTTACTCTTCGAGGCCTGACAGCAGGTCCTTTTGCCAAATCCATCCTGGCTTTGTTTTCGGCTTCCGTTTGAGCTTTCACCGATGGCGGTGGCCATTTCAGGTCTCCTCTCATGTTTCCACTAACTGGAGCCTTTGTTGCGGCAGGTTGAGCTTGATAAACTGGCGCTGGTGCCTACAATTATCATCTAACTGTTTACGAACATTCATATTATTACAAATCTTTTGCATCTAGTTTTAATCACAGCGCGTAATGCTTCAGTTTCGTCACGATTATGTTATCCTATTTGAAAATATCCATTAAAAAATATTAGTACGTCGTATTCATCCTTTTCTGCCCTTAACGAGCCACGAGTATAATAAAAATAGGTAACTTTATCATAAACTTTAGTCATACTTTAATAAAACGGTAGAAAGCAACAATGTTATTTCTAAGACTCTCCGTTGACACCAAATTGATTATGCAATAAAAACATGATAGAAATGATATCGCGTTAAAAAATTGTACCAAACAATGCCAATTTGTAAGATATTAATAAAGCTACCTTAAGAGCCTCTTTTTCTTTATCTTTTTAAACCGTGTTTATTTGCTGGTGTCAGATACAACATGAGTATATGAATTATATGAAGTTTAAAGAAATATTTAAAACAAGTCTAAACAGGTCAATAGTTACTGTATGTACAAAGGGTTTAGAATGTATTCGTACAACGATCAATTTCCCAAAAAACTTTTCTGTGAAATTGTAGTTTATTAACTTCCTTTTTTATAATCAATAATATTTTACATATTCTCGGAAGTCTCTAAGATAGATATAGTCCAAACAACATTTACTAGTTAATATAATTTGTGAAATTAACAAGAAAATGCGAAAAGTGGCTAACAGTGTAGAAGCAATAAGTATTTGTACGATTCTTATGACGAACCATTTACAGTAGAATTTCTAACGTAAACACATTAGTTTATTGCTGCGTAAGAATGATAAAACATCCAATTTCCAGTAAAGTACTTTTAAAAAAGGTTCTAATAGAGAAACTGAAGAAGATCCCACTTCGAATAAATAATAATTTAGTTAATTTAATGCTTAGAAGAGTTGCAATAATCATAAAATCGAAAGGAGATCCCTGGAAGGAAGTATTATATACTTATAAATTAATGTAAATTACTTTTTTCTTTTTTAATGAATTTTAAAAAATCAAACAATCGTGCGAATACTTATTGCTTCAATATTTCTATCGATTAATTGTTTATTTCTCGTTAATTTCGCAACTTACATAAATAGCTATACTTTTTGTAATCTATCTATTCTAGAGATTTCCGAGAATATGTAGAATGTCATTGTTTATAAAAAATCAATTAATAAATTACAATTTTACACAGTTTTTTTTAGAAATTGATCGGTGTACGAATACATTCTACACCCACTGTACATACTTAATAGGAACCAATCAATAGGAACTGTATTCGTATTTATATTTTAGAACAAGGAAGGTTCTATGTTGCCTCTCTTAAAAATATTTCTATGAATCAAACCTGTGAGATTGGAGGCTCCGGGCGAAGTGTGATCGTGGATGGCGGTGCTTCGAATACAGCTGGGGCCGCTTGACTTTGCGGTTGTCGTTGCGACGAGTAATTGTTTTGGAGGGGTTGCTGTAATTAACAACACGATTAGATTAATCTCGCGAGCCGCTGTGTGACAGATATTTCAACATAACGCGTTCCCAAAGGACGCGTATTTAGAAATTAACAGCTGTTGACTACACTCTTGTTCCAGGACAGAAGGAAATACACACAGAGAACTCAAGAATACAATAGTTTCCTTGTTATTATACACCTCTTCTGCGAAGCAATCCACCTGTCGATAAAACTTTCAAGCTATCGGATCGTTTGATAAGTAATGCCGTTTTTTGTATGTTTATTTGAAAAAAAAAGTAGGATGCTGTACTTATCCTATGTACGCATCAAAAACCTTTCAGTGTGATAGCAACGAAATTTTCTTTCAGTTTAAACAAGTTCATGCTCCACTCTACATGAGTAAACAGAGACATGAAAAACTTTACATGAAAATAGTGTTACCATATATGTATATGGTATCGAGGTATCACATTCCATTGAAATGACTGAATCAGAAAATGTATTACAAAGGATATTACTTATGATGCGATCCGATATATGGATAGGTGTCGACTTCAGTTATTGTCTAACAGATTTCTAATTATCGAAAATTATAAGAGATACGTGATGTTGATATAGTCCTACTGATAAAATTGCACTGAATTAATTGAATATACCGAGTGTTTCAGAATTCTATGAATTAAGGGGGTCTTCCCGTGTGACGGCCGTTTTTTTGATAAAGTTCTTTCGGAATTTTTTATAGCGAAATGATAAAACACAGAGCTTTCAAATTTTTACTATATATTTATTCAGCCATCAACCGTAACTTTGAATTTTTTTAAGCAAAAATATATTGTGGATCACGAGATTTATCGCTCGCATGTAAAAAGAAAAGGTGGGTGAATGGCGTCCATGATTCCGGCAGACTGGCTAATCTGAAATAAAAAAAACAAATTGCATGTTAATCTGTAGGTGGATAGCCATTCGCTCGAAGTAGGATTTTTTAATAATCTTGAAAATTCAATTTTTTATATGCTTTTAAACATCAAGACCCAAAATTTCATGATCTTCTGCGACTACTTATTTATGAAAAAAGAAAAACGGTTCAGTATTTTTTTAAAAATCCTACTTCGAGCGAACGGCTATCCACCTACAGATTAACATGCAATTTGTTTTTTTTATTTCAGATTAGCCAGTCTGCCGGAATCGTGGACGCCGTTCACCTACCTTTTTTTTTCACACGCGTGCGATAAATCTCGTGATCCACATTATATTTTTGCTGAAAAATATTCAAAGTTACAATTAAAGGCTGAATAAATATATAGTAAAAATGTGAGATCTTCTGTGTTTTTTCATTTCGCTATAAAAAATTCCGAAAAAACCTTTAAAAAAACAACACAGAATGGCCCCCCTAACTGTACGGGCTGATAGAAATAGGGAATAAAAAGGGTCGTTTAATTAATGGAATATGTATAACGAAACAAGGGGTCTGATGCGCCTGGGAAAATATTTCAGCTCAATGCTCTATAATTGAAAAACATTTACTTCTTAACAATTTACTTCTTGTGCAACGAAACAATTACAAATTTGTCCAAATGTATATCGAAATCAAAACTGTCTTGCTGTCTTTGAATTTTCTTTAAGAATTGGCACGAACCTCTGAAGCAAACCGATATCAGGGATACGAAGTCGACACCTACGCCTCGATCACTTACCTGAGGAAGGTGATTCGGTTGTTGCTGTTGTCCGGACCACGAAACCGGATGAATCGGTTGTTGCGATATCGGGGAGGTCGCAGGGGGTGTTACCGGCGCCCAGCCCTTCTGCACGGGATGATGTTGAAAGTGCGAAGGCTGTCGTAGAGTTCCGCCAGGACTAACCGGTGACGGGGACGACGGGACGGCACTCTGAGTCGACGAACGAGCGATCGTCGAGGGCGGTTGAGGCGACGAACCTGACGAGGGACTGCTCTGGTACGAGGCGCGATCACCGATTCCACGGGTCTTTCGAATGGAAGGGAAAACAGAGGCTTCTTGTAGGCATTGCCGTGTCGATTAATGATTTTTTTTTTTTTTTTTTGGCCCGATTCGATCATCCGTTGCGACGAATTCGAACGTTTTTTTTTTGTTTTTTTTTTTTGTTCTTTTGAAGAAATAGTCTCGGTACATCCGCCTCGACAGCCACAGTGGTGTAGTCAACCGCGTTGTCAAAGGTATACACATAGTTCGTATACGTCGGGTCAATTTCAAAAGTCTTTGCGTACATTTTTGCCAACTATATTACGAATACAATTTATAAATAAATTTAATCGTCAATTTATTTTTCCCTTTAGTTTTCTCTCAACGTATCGGTACCTGGTCTTCGCCTCGTACAAAGGATCTAGTCAGACTTGAATCGATCCTAGAAAGTTAATCTTGTGACATTGTTCCATTAATACTAGAAATATCAAGGACAATGCGTATTTGTTAAAAAAAAAAAAAAAGAAAAATATACGTGTCGAATCGAGTAACCTCCTCGTTTTCGAAGTCGGTTAAAAAATACACTGGTATATGTTTGAAATTAAAGAAGCAAGTTAATAATTGAGTCATTTTAAAAATGAGTTTCACGCACACGAGTCAAATTTACTTGTTTGGTAGCTCTAATGTCGAAGCTAACTTTAGCTTGTCACATCTGACAGAACAAAATAAGTAGTATTTGGTAAAGAAAACGAACGATACTGTAGCATGTCTATACAGGGTGTCCCAGAATTAGTGTAAGAACCGGAAATGGGAGTTGAGACGATTCCGAATCACAATTTCCTTTGCAACAATGTCGGATGGTGCTTTGTTTTTGAATTATTAACGAAAAACCTCCGACGATTTTCGCGCACCAGAACATTCATTATTACAAAAAAAAAGAACGGTCAAGATCAAACGGCATGAACACGAATGAACCGTGGTATGGCACAAATTAGAACGAACGCGTTCATACTCGTATAGTTTTTCTATAAAATGCGCAAAGACCTTTGAAGTGACGTAATACAGGATTGTTCAGCTAGTTACGACGTATCAGCAAGCTCGTAACGTGGGGTACATTCATAAAACGAAAGGGAAGAAAGGAACATAAAAATACAACATTATGTCTAATACACGCACAACAACAGATACACGAACAAACAGCGGCGTGACAAATACAAAATAATACAAAAATCACAATCGTGAAGAAGTGTCTACAAAGGCCTACGATCGTTGACTCGGGGTACATCCCTTAATTAATTCCATAGAAAAATACACGTGTCTATCGCTGATCGCTTTAAACAATTTGATCAAACACGTGTATACTTCTTATGGATTTATTAAAAAAAAAAAAATTACCTTCGCTTGCACTGGTCCCTGTTCTATGAAATCAAAGTCCTGATCCTCTGGAGGTGGCGGCCAAGCCACGCGTTTAAGGCCTGGAAACAATTTCAAGAATTCATGCAATTAGTCTGCATTGAAGTATGATTCAGAATTAATGTGCTAGATCGAGCAAATAAGAATTATTCATATTAACCACAAAAGCGTACGTAAGCAAGTACAGGGAATGCAATTAGAATGGGACTACATATGATAAACCATCGTCAAATGTAAATTTCATGATTGCAATAGAACTTATGTTTTACTCAAATTATTTTAAAAGTGCTCATGCGCGTAGTATTAGGCAGAATCTACTAGATAAGACTAAAAGAATTTTGTAACAGCTTCAAGGATTCCTAAGAGAATTATCTGTAATACTTTGGACGATCTACACTGTTTACGCACAGTGCGTATCAAAATCGTACGAACACTTGGATTTTTGCGGTTCCAGTGTCTTAAAGCAGTCTATCATTAAAACCAATTGTACTATTGATATTCAACGTGCCAGAACCCCTCTGGACACCATTTGCGTTTTAATATTGAAAGAATTAACGTTACCATTACTAAACATCGATTTTTATACCGTATCAGAAATATACGAACATAAGAACGTTCGCATAACAGAGGTTCTACAGTATTTCCTTCTTTTTATTTATTAAAATAATTTTTATTTTGAATTAATTGCAACAAACATACATTGCGTATCAAAATTATACGAACACTTCTAGTTTTGTAGATTTCAGTACCTTAGAAAAGTTTCTTAAAAAACCAATAAGTCGATTTTTATACCGTATCAAAAATATACGAACAGTTATTAAAACAACAATTTTATTAAATTGTATGTCAAAATAACAGGCTCAGGTTTTTCTCTACGTTCAGTTTAAAATTTTAATGAATTATGTCTCAGTAACGATGTGGTCATTCGTTGTTATTTTTTTTAAATGGCTTACAATTGCAGTTTTTATAGCATATCAAACTTTCAGCAACTTCCTAAATTACAATTTGATTTATATTGAAAAAATTCACGGTGAAAATTTATATGTTTGATAAGGAGCTGTGTTAAAATTACAAAATTTTTATATCGTTTTTCATAAAACTGGGGTGGTCAATTTAAATCGGAATAGGCTAATATGATTCATGTTTGATCAAGTAACAATCAATAGAAGTTTTGTTAAAATCCTACATTAAATAAATCCATGGAACCACTACCTTGGGATACTGAAACCTGAAAAATTCAAGTGTTCGTATACTTTTCATACCCAGTGTAGTGCACGAATATTTTCGTTCTCTTGAACAAGCTACTTCGAAGGTGACAACAATATATGTGCGACGTATGTAAACAAGTTGATGACTCGATCGCAACGTATACGTCATACTGGTTTTTAGATCATGACACACGCGAATGTGTTTATATTTTTGCAGTATTGTACAAACTTTTATTGCGTGATTATATGTACAAAATTTTGTGTCGATGATACTATTTGAATCTTTTTTTCCTGTAAATGTAATTGACTGATAAACGTTCAGTTTTATTTCTATTAATTTCATCACCTATGAAACCTATAAGAATGATATCTCATCAATTATGAAGTATTCTACTTTATTAACAATTATCATAAAATAATGCAATATATAATTTAAAATCTTGGATTGCCTACGAAAACATAGCAATAATATAGTAACAATATAGATCATAATTATTGTTAGATCATCTTTCAGAACGTATATACATGCATAAATGTATAAAATGATTTGTTTAAATTTAAAATAAAATACATTAGTATGCAATAATAGTGATAATAATAATTAACATTTTAAAGGAAGTTATCTTAATGAAGGACTCTGAAAAGATCTCTTTCAATTATTATGAAATTGTTCACGGAAACATGCATTTCATTTAAAAACATTAATCTATGCCTCAATTTCTAATTGTAGACATGTAAACTTTAAGTTTAGCAGGAAGAGACATTCAGTAACGAAGAGTTAAAACTACATTTTCGAACATCGTCATCATACGCAATGCAAAACAGTTTGCGGCTAATAATAATTCTCAATAAATCCTTGTTGCAACGGTAGCAATCGTAAGCAAACCAACGATCGGTACTTCGCGCGATATTTCACGTTAACGTCGGTCACACTTGGCTATGAATGCCGGATCGGGTTTCGTTCGTCATGTTTGATAGAAAGAAACGTGGAAAAGAGTGGTTATTGCGCCAATAAAACGAATTATTATTCAAGCAGCTACCACCGCATCGTGGCACCAGCCAAGTTTATATTTACGCGATTATTGCTGAAGAATTCGCACAATTTCGGTACGACCTTGCCGTATTCTTAGATTCTTTGGTTCTGGAGCCTTGAATATTGAGTATCAACGCAAGGACCATGAAAATAAAAATACGGCTTTGAAATAGAAATAAATATGTTGCGAATACAATGGCACACGTCAGATGTCCGCCATTTCGATTGGCGAGTTTCTTCAGCAATACCCCATTTAAACGCTTACGAAAACATATTCAGTTTCCATCTTGATAACTTTACTTGCAGGATCGTTATTGTAGAATAAGGTATATTATACATGCACGCTAGTGTGAAGCATTTTATGTACATTATCTATGTGTATATTGTACACAGGTAATATTAATTTCACTTCAGCATTGAAGCAATTCTTGATGAAAACTGCATACAAAATAATAGTTATAGGTCGTAGAGTCTACTATTATTGATCACGGATAATTGTATTTGTCATACTAAAATGAATGCTATTTTTATTAGAAAAAATGGATCGATTCGTGGATAGCCGCGAAAGATGTATCGTTTTTTCGACGTGGAATTCAAATGCTGCCAGAAAGATGGGGAAAAGTAGTCTCCAGCGATGGGCAATATTTTAATTCACTTGTTTCTTTACTACTTTTTTTTAAATAAAGGATTTATTTTCACAAATAACGCCGAGAACTTATTCGCACTCCCAATTAATTAACCAAGAATGTCTTACAATTAGATTAATTAAGTACGTTCTCACAGATTTCAATACTGACAACCTTCAGAGTTTATTTTCATTGAATCATAAATAAAAATATAATTTCTCATGACTCGATGGTTCCAAAGTCCAAAATATTACTATAAATAAAAATGCGTTGAATTTCAGATCGATAAAAAAATTGACTATGGTTGAAACAGTATCGGGTAATTCTCCTTAATTTATATACAAGTTTCGACTGTTCGAATAATTATCACTTAGGATATAAACAAGAAAGAATACAATGGAAGTGCAAATAATTATCTGTAGAACAATTATCAGAACTTTAGACGCAAAAATACGATTGAAACAAAACGACTCAAAATTGAAAGTACAATTATACAAAAGTTGCTATATAACAATTATTATATAAAGTTAACGTTTGTCCGCATTGAACAGAAATGACACAGATAAAAAATAAGTTCACTTTGGTTGTTAAATTGCACCATACACACGAAATTATTCTTTGTCAGTCGTGCGTATACAATGAGCGTGTGTAGAGTTGTATATATACAGTTGTCAAAACTCCACTGTCAGGTATGGAATTGAAGCGATGTTCACCGTAGAAACGTACCGTTTTTTAACACTCTTTTTAGAAAAGAAGTCACTTAGCCACGAAGAAGAAAAAGAAGAAGAAGAAGAAGAAGGTGAAACCGACTTTGCCAAAACGAATTCTCGCCAACAACTAACGCTACCCCAGAGTCACCTGTACCTTTCATTATCGCAGAATCGACCTAGCCACCGATTTTAGAGCTTTTTTGGTGACTAGCCAAAAAGTGGGGGATGATACTGATAGGTAGGGGAAAGTTACGATTTCCGAGAGAGGTTCAAAGGATGACACAGTGTTTTCTGTCAACTTCAACCGCGTTACGTTCCTTCTCAACCATATGGGAATCACGTACTAAATGAAAAGACAAATGGTTTTGTAGTTGAATATTTATACAATACATTAATGTACTTCTAACACTTTGTTAACCTTTTGTACAATCTGTAAAGCCAAAATAAACCTATAAAAGGTTTCAAAGGCTCAAATAAAAAAAAAAACATTAATGTACTTCAATATAAATAAAATCTTGTTATGGCTTGAAAAAAAAGTTCTTGAAGAAGCCTGAAAATTCGGGCGGGCAAAGCGGCGTAACTCTTTAATGCAAAAGAGTTATGGGTTAAGAAGAATGTAGTAGTATCAGTAATTAACCCTTTGCACTCGAGAAGTGACTTTCGGTCATCATTAGGTTTGACACAGTAAATCGATGAATAGTAATATTTGTTTAGGTTTAACTTCTTTGGAACTCGAAGTGTCGATCAAATATTTATTGCGAGATAAAGGTGATCTGATTGAGCTTAGCATTCGTGGCAATAGAATGTTAAAAAAGCATCTCGAGTCGCTAGAAGATACTAGAAAGAAAGGCCTCGAGTGCAAAGGGTTAGAACGTTGGTATGTAGAATTGAATAAGCACTTTCTGTCACTCTTCACTACGTAATGTTTTTATATGTACCTAGATTCAAGAGAATTAATTATATACGTTCCACTAACGATAACAACATTTTTATTGAATGTCTAAATTCCACAGCATATTGAAACTTCTAAGACATTAATGGCCTCGCTTAGTATCTTAAGAGGATGAGTCTGTAATTATCTTTAGTAGTGTTAACACCTATGAAGAACATAGCAAGGGCGACAAAAGCATTAAGCACAGCACGCGTGATGGAATATTTAAATAGAATAAAACCAAATTTAGGGAAAAAACCCTGCTGCAAATTTTTAGCGTTTCAAAGACACGAAATTACCGAACCATTGTTGGATAATAATGTGAGATGTCGCGAGATTTTAATGTATAAAATACTTAATATTCTCTTCAGTATTCTCTTTTATTTATGTTATTGCCATAAAATACAGTTTTCATGAAAAATAGAGTATATAATTTTGGTAACTATAATAAATACAATTTTACAACTTTTTGTGCAACTTTTAATTTCATATTTCTGTATGTTTCTAAACAAATTCTAAAACTATATTTTTTCATGTGTATATATATATATTGTTAGCTAATCAATAAATCATCCCAAAATATCTACATATCTTTATTTTATATTGTTTGGTTTATGAAAAGGATCATTATCATAAATGGGTGTCGCGAATGCAAAAAGTTTAAGAAGCCCTGCTATATACTATACTAATGTATAGGTATAAAATTATATATAGTTTATAAAAGGCTTTATAGGCTTTATAAAACTTTATAGTACAGAGCATTGAAGTCGTTACTTTATTAAAAGAACAAAATTAAACAAAATCTTGGATCTCTATCTCTTGGTCTTAATATTTTTTATTACAAATTCTGAAGACGATTAAAGACGAGAACATGTTATAAATTATACGTTAATACCAAAGTTACTATAAAAAAATTGCTGCGTGGAAGTTTGTCCTTTCGTAAGGTAAAAAATTGATTGGCTTAGTTTCCTCGATGATAACACTTCCTCTAACCGAGATGAAACACGCGGAAAGCATTTTATAAATAGTATGGTTTTCACCTGGGTTTGAAAAAACAAGCAGACGACAGATGTGGCCATCAGGAGGACAAAAATGAGGTCGAAAGTGTCCTGGAATTATTATCGTGCCAGAGACCATATACCAGAGATTGGCACAATTTTATTTGAATTACGAATAATGAATAATATTCACATATAGTAAAGTATTTAATGAAAGTATTGATATAAAAAATCAATTTATTCCAGTTTTTATGTCGAAGTCCCCTTTTTTGAATAAAAGTTCCTGAAGGGACAGTTATTCATCTCTCATCATCATTATCCGAAATGTTTGTTTAGATGAGAGTTTTGTCCATCTCTGGATTATGGTTTCATGGTTGTTATCACTGGAAAAATGTCTTCCTTTGTTAACAGCTATCAAGCAAGGAGAGTAAGGAAAACTGGCAAGGCATAACTCATTGTCAGTGCAGCGTGCGAGTAACGTTGTTAGTGTTCACCTCTCTGTCGATAGATCAAACCAGCTTTTCTGAAAGTGGTGTTAGTCTCCCTCGCTCATGATTAGCAGCTTGCAAGATTTGCTTCTTGTTAGTCTTCTTCGTTAGATTAATGTGCGGCTTCGTGCTTCGGTAGCTGAAATCTTTGGATTAGGTTCTTTTTCGTCTGTGCAGTCTACGTTATAATGGACTCGCTATGTAACGTTCAAAGTCGTTTCTTGTGATTAAGATTAAGATACTTAGTTAAAAATAGTGTGCATATTATGAAATGAAATAAAAGAATGGTTAATATTAACAAGGAACGAACAGCACCGTTTCCCAAACGAATACAGTTATGTTTATTGAAAAACAATTGCAATTGTTCTGTATATCTTGCAAAGTAAATTGAATACTTAATGGAACGATCACAATTAATTAACATCGACCAAAACTGAAATATCATTTTCCTGCGATCGTGTGAATCTACATTCTTTGACACTCCAAGGTTTATAATATTATGTATAAATTAATAAAAAGCCTTAAATGGACGATGAGTCGAACGTGAAAAGCAATTAAATTTCTGAAGTATTCTCGTCTTCGCTTTTGAAAATAAAGTTTATTTGTCATTACATTGAAAAACAGACGGTTCTCATTAATGTGCTTGTGCTTTTACGACAACGTTCGTATGTTTATTGCTACGCTTTTTTTTATTGAACAGATAGAGCTGTTCGTGAAAACACTACTTACTGACAAGAAACGACTTCACCAGAAAAAATAGAAAAAATCCTTCTTTACTTACTTGGCTGACCGCTTCTTTGCCTCGCCTCTTCCTCCTCGAGCATTCGTAGAACCGCACTGTTTTGTAGATTCGCCGGCTTGGCTAACTGGTTGAAGTCGATTCTGAAAAAGTCATCGATACGAGTGTTTACCAGATAATCAATTGACGAGCATGTCGTTTGCCGTAGCAGCTTTTGACTTTTAAGGAAGCACAACACTATAACGGTCTCGAAGAGAGAGTTTCTCTCAGAAATTGTTTACAACGAAACTACACAACGAATTGTTTTTAAACTTTCACTGTGTTTCATTGAACATTTAAACGTACAAAAAGCGGTTTCATAACGTCAAACATGGAGTTACTCGATTGGCAGTTTTATGTCTATATATTTGAAAAACCAAAAGTTTTCTTAAAAAACTAGATAGTCCCTATGTCCTGGCGTAAGAATAATTTGATATCTCAGAAAATTAGATAATGGCTGGTCTTTGAGAAAAATTTATGTTTATAGAAAAAAAAGAGAAGTCAATTTTTAAAAAACCACTATGTCAGGCCATAGAGACTAGTTTGCTGAAGAGAATGTGACTTGAGTCTTATCAATTGGACCCATAGTTTTCTCGGTAAGCTGTCAACCAAATTGAAAAGTATCGTTTAGGGATAAACGCAGTTAAAGTTGCCTTTTTTCATAATTTGCTAGAATTTCCTCAAAAATGATCATTTTCAAACGTAGCTTGGCTATATAGTAGACAATATATACAACAATATTCTATGACATTTTGAAATCGACTGGACCAGCTGGAACAATGACGTTTCAAGGGACACCTCGATTTAACGCAATTTCCAACTAGTTTTCGATACAAATTTTACAAGACACACTTCAAACTATGTATATTCGAGTCGTGAAAATTTGCAAATTTCCACGTTACACATGTATGATGTTAAAAATTCCCCAAAATTGTTTTCGATTTTTTAAGGAGCCGAGGGTAGCGATACCGTTGAATTTCGAGCTCGTTAAAAAGCTTATTTGTGTTTGATCGTCACCTGTTTTGGGTGAGCATCTTGATCAGCGGAGGAAGACAGGCGACAGAAGGGAAATCCTGCGAGACGCGAGAAAACCGGTAAACCACACACCCCGAGGCCACCAAACGCGAAACTAAGTCAAGTACGATAGCGTTCGCGGGCTTTGCGCAACGGCTAGGCTCCGGACCGGGGTTTATTTCTAACTCGTGTGATTCGGCCCTCTGAAAATAACGGCGACTCGCCAATGACGGCGGGAACGCTGAATCATCAACCTGCAACTGGTCAGAATCTGCTAGCCGACAAGGATCGATACGAATCCGTCAAACGACACGTGGACCAGGTGTTGCGCGCTTTGATTGACGCAAGGTGGTCGCTATGCCAATAGATTCACACCAATTCTCACCTTGTTCGACAAAACAGCCAACACATTTCCGGATTCTTTAAGATCTAGCCTATCGATGCGAGACCGAACCGAATTTTTCTGGTAGCACTGGTAGCACCGGGCCCGAAATCTACTGTCTGAATAGGTTTGGGGTACCTTTTGCTGGGGGTGTATGTTTGAGGTAGTTTTTGGTGGGGAGGCAATATTGAATACTGTTAATGTAAATGCTGTCTATACGGAAATACTGTCTGAGTAGGTTTGGGGTAGTTATGGTGGAGTCAACAATATTGAATACCGTTAATGTAAATGCTGTCTACACGGAAATACTGTTAATGTACATACTGTCTGAGTAGATTTGAGGTAGTTTTTGGTGGAGAGGCAATATTAAATACTGTTAATGTAAATGCTGTCTACACGGAAATACTGTCTGAGTAGGTTTGGGGTAGTTATGGTGGAATCAACAATATTGAATACCGTTAATGGAAATACTGTCTGAGTAGGTTTGGGGTAGTTATGGTGGAGACGGCAATTATGAATACCGTTAATGTACATACTGTCTGAGTAGATTTGAGGTAGTTTTTGGTGGGGACGCAATATTAAATACTGTTAATATAAATGCTGTCTATATGGAAATACTGTCTGAGTAGGTTTGGGGTAGTTTCTGTTGGGGCGACAATATTGAATATTGTTAATGTAAATGCTGTCTATACGGAAATACTGTCTTACTAGGTTTGTGGCAGGCACAAACTCATACATTTTTTCGAAATGTATGAACGAATTCTCATACATTTTCCAATATTTTCATTTGCCATAAATGTATAAACATCCGCAGTCTAGTTGTGTGTATTACTAGTGGTCTCGCCATTATTAGTGTATTATATTGAATTGTATTGAATTGTTTTGTATAGTGTATTGTATTATATTGAATCTGTATAAATCGCCTTAGTGTATTAGAATGTATTCTAGTCAAGGGTTAATGACAATGATATTAAATTTGTATAAATCGGCTTACCCGACTGCACCATTAGCCAAAACATGGGTTTGCCTATCCAAAGTTTCTTGTATCGCTTGTGGCGAATACAAATTGATTGGAGAATTGAACTGTTTGTTCACAAACATTGCCCTTTGAGCGGCCATACTCGTGCTTGTGAATTAAGGTCAGTTCTCTGTCACTGGAAAATAACAGAAAATAAAAGGGTGTAAAAAACATATAATCAAATACGTATATTTTATAATTACATTAATAACAATTACATACAATAACAACGCTATGATAATTTTAGGTACAAGAAAAATGTCGTAGAAATAAAAATTTAAAAATCAGTATAAATGTATGTCCCACGCGTTTCCAAAATCAATTTACTTGAAAATAAAGGCTTGCACGACATTTTTATTTTATACTATCGACCTACTTTTTTTTAGCCAAACTACCTCTTTCCAATTTATTATACGTTACGCATGTAAGACAGTTTGTTTAGTAATGAACGAACAGTATTAGTGTATTTTAGGTGACCATGGACAATATCCTTGACAATAGCTCTTACCGATAAAAGTTAATTTGAATAAGAAAGGCCACTGTTTGTCGCTCTCAAGCGTTATTTATTACAAAACGTAAAGTTTCAACTCGTATTCGTAATTCTTAATTTGTAAGTTTAGATGTGTAATAAAATATGATGAGCATTCTTTTCTATTCGATTTTATGCAGGCAATTTATTATTATTATTTTAAGTCACATTTTAGATTTCGATTTTAATTAGAGATTTCTAACATTGGAAAAACTTTTGCAAAAATATAATTTTTATTAAACAAGCAGCGATTATAAATATTCTTTTCAAATCGATATTATTCAATTTACAAGTACCTAGTGTCTTCAGTCACATTTGGTTTCATAAAAACTGAATAAAGTACAAATCGTACTTCTCTAAAATATTCAAGCTGAACGCAATTCGCGATAAGATAAGACCTGACAATAGATAGCAATAATTAACATTTTTATGGTTTTCGTCCAACGCATTCGTCTGAAAATTGTCACGCGAAACGTACCGCAAACTTGCACATTGCAATATCCTTCGAAGATCGGAGCCAAACTAGCCCAAACAAATAAGGCATTAGTATAATTACTGTTTGGCAACCTCACGCGATCTTGAGTAAATCATTCCACTAATCGAACATTAATTCAACGTGCGCGGACGCTGAATCAGTAAAAACAAATCTTTCGTGCGACACACCTCCGTTGTTTTCGAAATTTTGCCAAAAACTAATTGCACGCACTTGTCCTTATTGGCTCGCGAATAATTGGTAGAGAGAATTGAATGTGCGATCACTTATATAAATAAATATTGTAGCATTTATCGTCTACAAAAGTATAGTTCGTTTAATGTGAATGTTTCGCACCTTAATTTTTGTTCATTTCGGTATACAAATGCTGATCGTTACTGTCGAGACATAAACAAATAAATAAATTGTACAAGAAGGACGCAACGTAATTACATAAACGTAAAAATAAAAATTTCTGCTTAATTTCGTTGTTTCTTTTTTTGTACAATTTATTAACTTTGTATATTTCTATATATTATTCGAACATTATTTAAATATTTAATTACTCGATCGATTGCACAAATTGTCCATAGTATAGTTAGGCATAATCTTCAAATTTAATTGTTTTTTTTTTTTGCTAAATCCATAAGGAATTTTTTCAAGAGATACTACGCGCGTATTAAAAAATCTACACTCTGAGAAAATATTAAAAAAATAGATTAACACGTTCAAGCCGACTGTTATTTGTGATTCTCGCCATGAGGCGGCGCGATGGTACACGCCATCTGATAGGCACGCGAGCGTGAACCACCGGTGGTACACGCCGGCGTGAACGTGTTAAACAAATTTTTAGATTAGAATACCTACTTAAAAAAAGCATTCGTCATTAATACACATAACTCATTGCTAATTTCCGAGTTATCGGTACAGGGCGATAGATACTACGGTAATTCAGTAATGTTCGAAATATCACCCCTGCTAGAAATCTTATTTTCAAGCTTTTCCTGAAGAATGGTCTATTCCGTTGGCGCGGTAAACGTAGTTAATTTATCGTACCGTGCGCGAGGATGATTCATCGGTACAATAGCGGGTCCGATAGCGATGAAGAACAAACAACTTCTATTTAAGAAGTGGGTTACGAATCATCGTCCCGATGTTTCAGGATCATTCGCGAATGTTTGGTTATTCGATACCCAAACCGGAGGCGGTCACTTGGGTGTTTCGCCTCGTTATTTCGAAACACGTGCCAAGAAATATTCTGAGCCGTATAGAGACTGTCGAAACTATAAAACGCGAAGAAGTATCCATCGATCATGTCTGCCTTTAACGCGATACTCGTGATACCCCGTTCGCGAGACACGAGACATACTTAGAGTTCACTGACATATATAAGTTTTGAAAATAGAAACCGCTTGTTTACCGTCCACACAACCACTTGCGAGGGGTGTTATAATAGCTTATCCAACGCGCATATAGAAGAAAAAATACTGTGCTACCCCACCCCGAACTGGAGAAGCGGTTTACAAATATTTTCGAAAACGTTTCACCGCGAAGATAGCAGAATTTCTTTGTTTAAAACGTAAGATGTAAATGCGAAATGTATAGATTTGTGGTACACTGGATATCGAAAGTATACGGACACTTGAATTTTTAGTTGTTCCATGGATTTATTTAATGTAGGATTTTAACAGAACTTGAATCGATTCTTATTTGATTAAATATGAATCGCATCAGCCTAGTCCGATTTGAATTGACCATCTGAATTTTATGAAAAGAGATATAAAACTTTTGTAATTTATAACACAGCTTCTTATGAAACATACAGATTGTCACCGTGAATTTGTTCAATTTAAATCAAATTGGAATTTAGGAAGTTGCTGAAAGTTTGATGTGCTATAAAAACGAAATTTATAAGTAATTTAAAACAAATAACAATTAATTGACCACGCCAGTTTTTTGAAAATTGTTATAAAAATGTTGTAATTTATAACACAGCTTCTTATGAAACATACAGATTGTCACCGTGAATTTGTTCAATTTAAATCAAATTGGAATTTAGGAAGTTGCTGAAAGTTTGATATGCTATAAAAACCGAAATTGTAAGCCATTTAAAAAAAGAAAACAATTAATGATCACATCGTTACTGAGGTATAATTCATTAAAATTTGAAACTGAACGTAGAGAAAAACCTGAAGCTGTTATTAAAAGGAATGAACCTTTTGAGACAACCTAATGTATTATGTATGAAGCTATTTACAATCAAATTCTAATTATTTTATTTTTGGTCAAACTGAATCCCAACCACTTGTTATCCTATACATTGTACGTGTATATTCTATTATGCAAAGATTCTCTTATTCGAAAACGATTGTCCCAGATTAATTCGCGTAACGGAGGTTCTACTGTATACAACTTGATAACAAATTTGTAGAATATCGTGGTTTTCAAGACGAAAATTCCGACTGACTCGGAGGGGCCCGTTACAAGATTCCAGGACGGTAATTAAAAATGAGTTTCGCGAAGGTAGATCGGCGATTTGTCATAGTGTGGCGACCGTTCGTCTGGAACTCGGGTACGTCGCCGCTAATGGCCGGAAACTTGGACGAAAAGAGCGAAGAATTAAAAAACGAAGGGTAAGACGTTCGGGCAAAGTGCGCGTTTATCTTATGAAAGTTTCGGATTCTCTCTGACGCGTCCCCGCCGAGCAGCCACCGGTAGTCTACCGCAGTTATTTTTGCTATGAAATTCCTCCGAATATATCTACATCGTCCGCAAAATCTCTACATCTCCCTCTTCCACCTCGTGACCCGAGGCACCAATGGTACTTCTGGGTCGTATTAGATTACAGCGGAATTACGGATCGAAAGTAGCTGCCGGAAAGGCCGGCCAAAATCTTTCGAAAGATCCTGGCGACAATTAGTCTCGGATATCTACGGTTGTTTTCCGATCCGCGGAATCTACGATCCGTTTCTTTTACATAACTCGTCATCTATTCCAAGTTTTCGCTGGTATTTGGACGACGTTCCCGTTACAACCTCGTTGAAATTTCGACTCGGACGGAGGGAGTTAGGAACGGTGCCAGTTCGAAAAAATCTATAAACTGATGCGTCTAGAAATTTCCGATCCGTCGAATCCAATATTTTCGTAACCGTGCTGTTCGAAATTTCGTACAAAATGGATACATTCCCCGGATTATTAGATTTGCAGTATCAAGAATAAGGAGTCGAACGAGAATACGAAACGTAGGGTACGGGGTTGGTCGTGTAGGTACAGGGGTTGACCGTGGATCCGGGAATCGTCGTGGGTTCGAATCTCCGTGGCTTACTTTTCGTTTAGACTTCTACGGATTTCATTTCCTGAATGTTTAGCGGTAACAGATTTTATGGATAACTGTAAAAGACAAACGAAAATTTAAAGGGTACTAGATTCTTGAACGTGATCGAAGCAAGTTGAAGAAGTGCACCATGCCACGCGATGTCTGCATTCTTCCCAGAATGTAAAATTAAGAATCGAGTCTATCGAAACGGGAATACATTCGGAAAAAGTTGAAAAGGACAATATAAGTGCTGTAGGTTGTATAAATCAGAAATTTTATAACGATACTGGAAGTGTAAAGAATAGTGAAAGGTGTGTCTTCGTTCAACCACAAAATGATAATTCGGTAAAGAAGATTATTCAAACAATTTGACGGGCTATATCTAAGAAAAATTGATGGAAAGTCTAAACAAATTATCGTGATGAAACGCGTTTGTGTTCAAATAAACTGAGACTGAAAATTGTACCAACGTTCTATTCTATACACATATCGTTATCGTTTCACGAAAAAGAAAACCAAAAAAAGTTCAAATTTTCAAGAAAAACGTGCCGAATTTTTTATAACAAAAAACAAACTATGGATTGGACGATAGAGGGATCATTTCTCAATGTATAGTCCAAATTTGAACTTGTTTTGTTTGTTTGTTTTTTCATCTTACAAGGGTGCACACCTATTGCTTCAGTTCTGCTTGTTACATTTCACCAGACTTGCACATATGTGTTTCTTTTCCACATCACGTTTATATCGTTTTATGTCAATCCTGAACTTCTTACATTACATTTACGTATCTATTGCATATCTGTTGGGATCCACTAGCCACCCCCTCTAGCTCGGGTACCTCGGGATCGCTAAACCCGTACTGCAGCTACAATCAATCGTAGCTACAGCCCTTGAGGGTAAAAGTCGATCGGTCCAATAAATTTTCTGAAATTGTGTCAACCAGCTTCGACAATCCGGTTTCGAGAAAAACGCGTTTAAAGTTTCAAGTATTTACATATCTAGAAGGAAGCAAATACCAGACCTGTATAACAAACCTATCCGATTTTTTACTAAAAGAATTTTACGTTGTACCATCAGATATTTTCAACAACAAAAGATCGATTGTTTTAAATGGTCGACACTAAGTGAACATTTGGAAACTTGAGTTTAACCGAGCGCCATTTACTTTACTTTTCCCCTTTTCTGCTTCGCACGATAATTATTTGAATTTTTTGCCTCAGACAAACCATTTCCAAAATATCTTGACAACAGGTGCTACTTTAACGTTAACGTAAATCAATAAATAAATTTGGCAAAGTTCGTACAAAAATTCTTTTACAGACTTTGAAAACGGATCTTAAATTTTTAAATTCGTCGCACCACAAAAAGTCGCACCTTTAACAAAGTAAATACGACTTTATTAGATTATAAATATAAAAATGTAAACAGTATGTAACTCCGTAAGTACTTTCAGTAATACCGTTACCTGTATTTATCAGTCATCGTATCGTCCGTTTTCTTGTCCTGTTCCGTGTGTCGTGAATTTCGACGACACGATGACGGATAAATTCTTACGGTTAACTGGAAGTTTGCCCTTGTTTGCTAAACAAGCGTGGCTCGCATGGCTTGTATAGCTGCAGATATACCGCAAATCTATTTTAACGCTTATTGCTACAATGATGCCACGCGCAAGAATCTTTGGCTGGGTTTTTCAAGTGTCGAGAAATATCGTACTCTCTGTATTATCGTTATTCTGTACTCGAAATAATACCGCTACGCGATTACGAAATTTCGCTTCCCGCCGTGATTTCCGCGATCGATGTAGTACCGACTTTTTCTGCGAGCGGGACAGACGGCAACAGCAACTGAGAGATCGTGGTTTCTGAGAGGAAGTATAGATGTCGTGCGATTTTATATCGGTACACGAGAATGTAAAAGTTTTGCTAGGTCGCGAGTCGATCGTCTATGGTGGATAACACTCTGCTAATACCGAGAGATGGTCGATAATCGTTTAGAGCAACAGTCACTTACCAACGATCGCTTCGATGCTCAATCGTATTGCAGAGATGGCAAAATACTTATCTTAGGGGGTTACACCACTTGAATCGTCTCAAAAAATAGAACTTTGTCTCATTTGTTTAAAGTACTCTCTATAGACGCGAAAATAATATTCCATTAATTAGAAATCGATATCGAAAGTGCAAAGCAGTTTTGTGTTGTAGAAGTAGAGACGCGCATCAGCGAAACGAAAATTTTAAACGAGTTTTTCTCGAAACGGCATTTTCAAAATCGGTTGACACTCTTGCCTCGCCCATTTTCAATCAACCGACTTGAATCTCTTATTATGTAATCGTTGTATGTGTTTTTCTAGCGAAATGCGTAGAATTTTTTTTATTATATCGATATTTCCTTACTTTGGAACCGTGGCATTTTATTAAAAATGTATATTTCAAAAAACGTATTTCGCTAGTTTTCGGACTAAGGAAACTAAATCATTTTATTTCACTGTTCTAGTTTGAACCTGAATTGAGTTATCCTGCCCATCGCAAAACCATTTATTTCTTCAACGCCATGTTTGTAAAAATGAAGAAAAAATGATTTTGTAGTTGAATATTTATACAAAAGCCTGAAAATTCGCACTGGCAAAGTGATGTAACCACTTAATCACAATTTCGAAACAAGAATGAAAAATGCACTGAATTATAGTATCAGATTATTGTTAACGTTAAATGAGAATAAGTACTACCGAGACAAAAATTCTGACCATCTCTGTCTTATTGTAATCGAATACACGCTTGCTGCCACATCTGGAGAATTTCGTAAGTCGTTACCGACGACTTTTTTTTTTTAGCTAAAGCAAAGTTCGGAAAAGAAGCGTAGCATTGGCGAGAAAACAGAGCACAATGCGGAAGGAAAATAAATGTTCTTCAATTCTGCCAACTACATTAAAGAAGCAGATGAAAAACACGCTTCTTATCTTCTTACGTCCAATATAAATATTTGAATATTCTCCAGATTGTGTGATAACAAACGATTCGCTCGGATAAAGCGAACGGAAGCCCTGCGACGTGTTTATTTTTTATTCGACGAACAGGAAGAATTATCACTAAGACTTCAATATGAAGCGCTAGCATTTTTTAAATAGCATACGTCTCTTAAATTTTCGTTTCTTTGTCTTTCGGCAGAAAATGAAATATTACGCAATAAATATCCACTGGTTTTATTTGTTACCTATTATTGGAACAAAACATTGCCCATCTTCGCATCGTAGATCTGTATACATTCTTTACATCTTTCATCTTGGAGAAATTCATCTCTTTAATCGTATTAATCGTCCTTAAATAAGAAAATCTTTATTTCTATTTTAACAATTAATTTCATCTTTATTATCAGAGATGGGAAAATATTTCGAATAATCAACTTTTCATCTCCTATTTATCCAATAATAATTAGAATCTGACTTATGAAATGAAATTACATATTACGTTAAACGAAGAAGAGCGTAGCCATTTGATCATTTGATCGTCCAATTGAATAACCGCTGCGAATAAATCGCTATACGATGCTTTTATTTGTCGTCTATTATTGCACGCATATTGCTCATCGCTATTTACTGTAAGGTTATAGATATGTAGAAACTTGTAAAATTTCATGTTTATATTTGAACTCGAATTTCGAATATTTAATTATAGGTTCAAACATTTCTTAGTAAACAAATCAAAATTTAATTTGAAAAGTAAGTATACGATCATTTCATTCGTCACCTATTGTTTGAATAAAATTTTAACCATCTCTACTTTGTTAACGTCTATGAAGCTCGCGCCTAAATTCGCCCTTGACTGCACCGAATAAAACGCATGAGAATAGTGTACAAAATACGTGCGAGCAATATTCTGTCTCTGATGTCACATAGAACTGTCTGGGTGCAAGAGTTACGAGTGCACGCGAGTGATTCATCATCGTTCTAACCGAAAATGTTAAGAAACGACAAACATACACATACATATATTTTCGCACGTTGCAAATTGTAACCACTCTTGACACAAAACATTCTTCGATGATTTATTACACTAAAGCGCTCATTGGAAAGTCGACATTTTACCAATATGAAGTTTACGTTTACTTTTCTGTCCATCCGACGTTGTACATTTTTAAATAACAACACAATAAATAAACAATAGCGATAGTACACAGAGAGATAATAACACACTCAAGTGAATCTTGGAATATTCAAATTTGAAGATTATGTACACTTTTCTGTCGAGGTGACGTACTGTTTTAAATATCGAACAAATAAATAAATAATCGAAATAACAAATATGTAATATGATATTATTACAAGAAAAGTGGATATTTCAACATCGAAATCTTATCAATTTCAAATTTATGTATGCTTTTCTGTCGATCTGACGTGATGTTCTAAATATTGAGAAATTACATAAATAATAATAATTAGTAATATCACTAAAATTAGGTCAATTCTAAATCCACAGGAATTTTCCTTTCAATCTAGCGTATTTTTCCTAATAACAACATAAATAAACAATAGTAATAGCAGACAAACAAGTAGTTATAACACACGCTAAAGTAGATCCTGGAACATCGACTCAATTTCAAATTCACATACATTTTTCGATCGATCTGGCGCTACATGTACTCATCTAACCAAAGAAGAAACAAAAAAATCAATAGGAAAATTCAAAAAGCAATTCCAAACATTGAAAATAAGCATTCGAACGTATCCAAACAAAGTTTCGAACTATATTAAAAAGACATTTCACCACTTGGTGTTACGCGTTCACGTTCTTATTCTCGGCTTACGCGTTTCCATCCCTAATCCGTGCGGTTTTCGTGCGATCCAAGGTAATCGGGGGTTATTATTTTTTTGTGCGTGTGCTCTGGTTGCAACGCGAGCCATCCCTCGTTACGACACTCGGCAAAAAGTTTCGTATTCGCGGAAGTCGAGCGCAAAACAACAATCACAATCACGGACACCTACCTTGACGTTCAAACGCAAGGCACACGGGTTTCTCGGGTGGCGAAACACACTGGACTCGAAAAAGCGAAAGCACGAGAGTACCAGCGAGAGAGAAACCGCCCCCTCCCTATCGGAAGAGTCGTCGAATCGCTCACGTTTCCTCCTCTAGCTTGGCTATTTTCGATCCCCGCCCCCCCTGAAACTATCCCAACATCCGTTCGCTTTTCTGGCAAACGCGGGAAACCGATTTGCGTTTCCTGAAATTCTCCTTTAGAAAATTGTTGACCCCCCTCCAACGCTCGTTGCCGAATACACCACCGTCACGTGAAAATAACGCCTTTTCCTTTGGAACGATACGCGGCTTACAATTTATGTGTTTTCGAAAATGATGCTTCGTTAGCGTTTGTCCGTATGTAAACGATGGGACTTCTCATCGAGGAACTAAAACGATTCATTCGGTAGGGGATTAAAGAGAATGAACTCGGATAGGATTCGTAAGTTTGACAAGATTGTAAAAGTAAGTACACTGCGTATGAAAATTATACGAACACTTGGATTTTGGAGGTTTCAGTGTCTGAAAATAGTTTTTCATAATAGCAAATTATTATGGAAATTGTAAAAATTGAATGTCCTAAGATACTGGATTTATTGAAATTTA